CAGCAGCTCAGCTAACCCCATGCAAACTGCTGATTTGGCTTATCTACGACCAGTGCAAATCTGGGCCTAGGTGACCGTGCACAAGGCCCCAAAGACCGTGAGGAGTCCAGTATGACAGGCAAGACTTGGTGAATGAGGCTCAGGAGCAGGGAGACCGCCATTGTCTGTCCTGCCTCGAAACCCAAGCCCCACCATCACGCCAGCAGCTCAGCTAACCCCATGCAAACTGCTGATTTGGCTTATCTACGACCAGTGCAAATCTGGGCCTAGGTGACCGTGCACAAGGCCCCAAAGACCGTGAGGAGTCCAGTATGACAGGCAAGACTTGGTGAATGAGGCTCAGGAGCAGGGAGACCGCCATTGTCTGTCCTGCCTCGAAACCCAAGCCCCACCATCACGCACTTAACTGATGGGGAACCGGCCAAATCCCTCTCCTTTGGGCAGCCGTGCTGAGCTGGGAGTTACCCCAACCCCTCACCGGGGGAGCAGCAGAGAGGCCATCAGGCAGCTGTGGCAGAAGCCTTGTTTTGATCGCGTTAAACTACATTGTCCCAAAAGTGACAGCCTGTGAGACTTGCTCCTGACCATTTGGCCCAGCACCCGCACTGGCCCAGCTGGCTGACGGGAGGGATCACTGGATGTTTCACTCCTCTGGGGCAGACAGGACACTGGGCTACCTGGACCTTCCATTGTTTGCACGTGGCATGGGCCTCCAGTCAGAAGATGTGCTTTCCAACTTCTCTCCAGGTGCATCCCTTGGGAGCGCGCAGCAGGCAGCAGTACAAACCCCCACTGCAGTGCAAACCACTCTTCTTTATTCCTCCTGGTACAATAAAGTCAGCCACTTACAAAGTGCCAGTCTTAAAAACCCATTTGACATGATACAGAATGTACACGCCAGTCAGAACCCGATCAGCTGCCAGGCAGACAGCCAGATTCCTGTCACCCTTTCTGCTGCAGTGTATTGGAAGAGATTTCAATTCAGGGTCCAGAATCAGCCATTCAGCCTGATGGATGTTTTTCAGTCTGAGCATACAAAAAAGTGGCCAGGTTTCTTGTGTCAATATGGAGGGGGAAGCACATTTGTTACATTATATTCTTCATTTTTAATAGGATCTTTTCTTTTCCCCGTCTCCCCAAATTTTTACTTTAAGGGTATTGAGGGGAAAATGCACAAAGATGATAAACAAACAAAAAACCCAGTGCAGTGCTACAGTTCAAACTTAGCCCCTAGAGAGGGAGAAACAATATCCACTTAGCAAGATGTAAAAACCCAAACAAACCAAGAACCAAACGGCAGAAGCATCAGCAGTTAGGAGCTAAAAACTCAAAGCTCAGTGCCCCAAGAGATCCTCTCTATGCTAACTGTGTGTGCTGCTAACCAGAGGGCTGGGCACACAGCAGCTGCCTTCTGCACAGCAAGCCTAGTGAATGCAGCTCTAACCCTGTCCGGCGTTCCCAGCCAGTGCCTTTCCTCCTCCCTTTTAACAGCTAGGAAAAGCAGCAGGAGGGCTGGGCAGGGCTGGGACGGGACGGGAGCCACGTGGACAGCGGAGGAGGAGAGAGAAAGGTTGGTATGGCGAGGGAGAAAGCCTGCTGCTGGGCAGGGGTTAGCATCGGGGAGGATGGCATGCCAGGCTGCCTACCCAGCAGCCGGGCCCCCTGGTGCACTGAACCAACAAGGTTTTCGTGTGGGGGGAGGGGGAGAAGGAGAGCACAGGGTGGTGGCCATTTCAGCTCCGATGAATTTCCTACTTTTGTGGGGCCAGAACGATGCACTGTCTGCACGTGGGAAAGCCCCTGCTCAGCTGCAGCACAGAGGTCACCCACAGACAGGGCCCAGAGCAAACGCACAGGAAAAGAAGGTGCAAAGGCAGAAAAGAGGCCCGGGCGCTGCAGCCATGCAGAGCGGGGAGTGGGGCAGAGGCGCGGCAGGAATCTCACACACTCAGCCTAATAGGATGAGACAGAGACTCGCTCAGGGCGTGACAGCTATGCAGATCAGGCATGACAATGTGCCCAAATGACACCTGTCATCTCTGCAAGACCCTGCAGCCACCCGCCCTGCCCCAGCCCCGCCTCCCCCAGCTCCAGCCACCCGGATTGACTAAAACATATTGAAGCTTTGCTGTCTAGAATGGCCTCTACGCCCCCACTGTCGGCTCATGCTTAGCTCCCGTGTTCTCTCGACACCGGGCACAACCCCCACCCTAGGGCTCCTGCTTGAGAACCCCACCCAAGGCAGAGCAGCGACTGCCAGATGCTCCAGACAAGGCATCGAACAGCGCAGAGCCAGCAGGACTCAGTTGGTATCCATGCCGTCACACGCGGCCGACGCCGGCTCGCGCTCTGCAGGCGGAGATGGGGCTGCAGGAGGCCTGCTGTCCCGAACAGCACGTACGCGGCTTTTGTCTGCCAGACAGAAAGAAAACCAACATGAGGAATGGAAAGTGCCCACTAAGCACAGCTCTGGGCAGCTGGAAGTAACCTACTGCAGACTCCCAGGGGCTATTCCCAGGTAATACAGGACGTCTGCACAGGTGTACAGAGTGTCAATATCTAGAACAAGGGAACCAAGCCAGGAAACCTTGTGCCCTGTGTGTGCGCAACGCGCTGCACAGCCCTAGCGCCCACCCACAGACCCTGGGAAGTGCCCACTAAGCACAGCTCTGGGCAGCTGGAAGTAACCTACTGCAGACTCCCAGGGGCTATTCCCAGGTAATACAGGACGTCTGCACAGGTGTACAGAGTGTCAATATCTAGAACAAGGGAACCAAGCCAGGAAACCTTGTGCCCTGTGTGTGCGCAACGCGCTGCACAGCCCTAGCGCCCACCCACAGACCCTGGGACCCACGCGCTGATCGGACTCGGGGGCACGCCAATCAGGTCATGTGCTTCCCAGAGCAAACCCCATCGGGGTGGGGGCATGCCAGCCTCGCCACCCAAAGATGTTAGCAGGAACCTCAGCCAGGGAATCCTGGTGAACCCCCGACCCGCCAATGCAGCAAGGGGCACTCGAGCCACCGAGCCTCCCCCTCAGCGCACTGCCAGTGTACGCCGCCCTGGGCCACAGCAGAGCACAGCCTGCATTCACGGTGCTTGACACTGGGGTCCACCCCAGCATGTTCCTTGGCTGTGCACCACTCGCAGAGGCCTGGAGTCCAAGCACTCACCACTATCTGATCTTCCGAAGCCAGCGACACGCTGCTGTCGTCGAAGTAGTACCATCTGCCGTTCACATCGTTCTTGGCATAGGCAGTGTCTGTCACACGAGGAAGAGTGGCAGTAAGGCGCAGGGCCCGCTAGCGTGACATACGCCAGTGACGCTCAGTTCGGAGAGCTCTCTCCCGTGTGGGGAAGAGGTGGCTGAGCGCTCGGGCATCACTGCTCTCAGGGGCGCCAGAACCCCGTGGTACAGAGGCTACGTCCATCTAGTCCACAGGGGCATGTCCTACAAGCTTGCGAAGAGCCTGTAAGGAACCTAGGCTGGTTTTGACCCTTCAGTCAGTGGTTGGCTTATCCCCCCACCCATGTTTTAAACCAACCCGAATGCGGTTTTCCTCCTGAGACATACAAAAGGCCAGTCTGACTCCTGCTACCTCTCACCCTGTTCTCAAGCCTGAGGCTGCCCTGGCCCTGCACAGCAGAGTTAAGTCGACAGGTGCTGCACACAGGTGCAGGCACGGGCTGCTGGGAGGAAGGCACAGCCTCACGGGAAAGCCAGCCACATCCCCGCAGGGTCAGGCTTTCCCATCGTCGCTCCGCTGGTCTGAGTCAAACCAAGCCTGCACTGCTCTGGACAGAGGGAGGGGAGCAGAATAGTGTGGGCGCCAGCAGCAGTGCTACCAACCAGGGCCACTCCTAGCTCCATGGCTCGCTGCTGGCCTCTGTCCCATCACACAGGTGCCCAGGAATGACAGCTGTGGGCTGAGCCGCCCAGCCCGCCAATCGTCCCAACTGCGGCAGAAGCCAAGGCCCCGCCAGCTCTGGGTGCAGCAGCCTCGCTCATAGAACGGTTCGCTGCTTCCTGTGGTGGCGGAGTTTCAAAGGGGGCGGAGCAAACCCTTACCGCCTGCCTCCTTACAGGGAGCCCGAGCGCCCAGCACGCCTGCCACGGACCCCCAAAGAGTGGCGGGGCAGCGTGGCCGCTCTCAGCTCTGAGGGGATTTGCTCCCTCGGCTCAATCCACAGCTATGGAACAGGGACAAGTGAGCAACTCTCAGCCCCACCCCTGGGACCCCTGCTCGCCCATCAGCCTCTTCCCCAGCCCCACCAGCTCTCCCGCTCCCTACGGATCAGGGCAGACAGTTACTCACAGTGGCCTACTCCCATGGCCCCGTAGTGATTGGATACGGCGATGAGGTCGTACACGTACGGATCAGCAGTCGGGTCACAGACAAACGGGGACATGCTCAAATCCCTGCAACACAGGTTGAGCACATGGTTATCGCACACCCCACGAGACAGGCCTAGTAACAGTGACGCCCTGGAGGCCGCCAGCACGAGGCCAGGCTAACCTGCCCCGCTTGGTGCGCTTCTCCCTCCTCAATGCTGTACCTGACCCACAAGCCGGTGTGGTCACTGGCTGCTTGGCTCAGAGGTATCTGGCTCAACACCTGCCAGCGGCCCCTCTGGGCACGGTGTCACCGATCAGCACTGCCAAGGCTCTCCAGGTGTTCCTACACCTCCTGGGCTCGCTTCCAGGGCACGGACACCACCCTGCCCGGGGGCGCCGGCGGTGGCGACAGAGGCACCTCTCGCGCTCGCTCAGACTAGCGCCCTTCAAGCGCCGCATGCCACTGTGTGCGTGGGAAGAGGGAACTGGCGCTCCTGCCCAGCAGGTACTGGGAAGGAAGAATGTTCACGGGGAGGCTAGGCTGCATGGAAGTCACGTGGCACTTGCCCTGGGCACACTGATGAAAACTGGCACAGGGTTCTGCAAGGGCCAAGTGTTAGGGCCTGTCAGGACACTGGTTCCAAAGGGACTCAGAGCTGTAAAACCGTGGGACCGCCAATCCCACTTTCGGCAGCATCCCAGCCAAGCAGTGGCCCGGCCACCCCTGCCAAGCTCAGGAGCTGTGACCGGTCAGAGCTCCATGCACCCCTTTCCCAGAGGCAGTTGCCAGAGCTTCACCACGGTCTACTGAGCTGTGGCCCTGGAGGCAGATGCCCGTCCTGAGCTACGTGGCCAGCGAGGAGCCCATACGACAGCTACAGCAGCAGCGGAGTTTCTTCACTGCCCAGCTGAGGCTGGCTGGGAGAACCCTACCTGATGGGGAATTCAACCACAGTGTCAAGCTTATCCCTCCAGTATCTGTTGTACGAGAAGCGTTTTAAATGCACCACCAAAATCCTGGGCAAAGACCACAGATCAAACTTCTTTGTGGCCTGCTGATGCTTCTTGCAGTTAGGGCAGTACCTGGAAAGGAGCAGAAACAGGCAAGGAATGCCTCTGAGAAACAATGTTCTGCCTGTTTCTGATTAGCAGACCCTGTGCCTGGCCCTACCCTGCCTGTACTCCCTTTGGTTTGATACACCAGCTTTAAGAGCACCACTCTGAACTGTTTCCTCGTGTATGCAATCTCTTCTTCACCCCGCACCCTTCACACTGCCACCACATCTCCACCCAACGCCTGCTCAGAATCGCGCTCCTTTGCCCGGGGCGCAGGCACCAGTGAGCGGTACAGAAAACTCCAGGAACACTGCACTTTCAGGACTTTTCCCCACCCTTTTCTGCCGCCGGGTCGTCTTTTGCAATTCGCCCTCTTCCCTTCCCACTGCGCTAGTCTCTGCCCAAGTGGCCAGGCGAGAGGGACTCAATTGCCAAGTTGCCAGTCTCCCTGGTGCACCAGAGCCACGGGAGTATTGTGTCAAAGAGCAGCTGGCAAGAGCATGAAGTGCTGAAAGTCCGGGCGGAGGTGGCAGAACCATTCAGAGCCTCGGGGCAGGAGCGGAAGCCGATTTCGGAGGCAGAGTACAGGTTCTGGCTAAGGTAACTGCCGAGGTGCACTGGTAGCGCTGCGGCTGGAGGACCAGAGGAAGGAGAGCAAGAAGCAATGCTGTCACCGTGGGCTAGACACACCACCAGTCCAAGACAGACAGCTGCCACACTCACCAGGGGTCATGTTCACCAAGCGTCTCCATTGTAGTGAAGAGTTCTATACAGTCTTTAAGAGCTACAGGAGTTTTCTTCTTCTGCGAGTGCAGCACACTGACATCCTTGTCAAAGGCCTACCAAAAAAAAGATGCAGGTTAACCCTTTGCATCCCAAAAATGAATATGCTCTTCCTAGGCACCTGGCACCACCTTCCCATGCCAAGACAGGTTCCTGCCATTCCTCTCTTAGCTTCAAAAGGAGCCACCCCTGCCCTTCCAGGTCCTGAGAGGCCTGCCTGAGGAGTTCTCCTTTCCTGGGTGTAGGCAGCCAGCCTCCTCCCTGATGGCTGCGTGCGCGTGCACACACATCTGTACTGCTCACTGCCGTGCAGTGCACCCTGCAGAGGTGCAAGGGGGTGTTTATTGCTGAAGTCAGCCCTCAAGCAGGAAGGAATTTTCACATTCCCCACTCCGAACAGCTAACAACCTTATTGGACAAGGAGACAAAAAAGGGGACGGGCGGAGGACACGGGTACAGTTATGGCTTGTGCCAGGCCTGTCATATCGGATCAGAATTGTCCACTCTGGCCTCAGTATCTGTACAGAGGAGCACACCTTTCTCGGAGCAGTGAGGTCCATAGATCCAGGCCAGACGGAACAGATCACTGTTACCAACTGGGCCCCGATTCATGATGCAAGTCAATAACATTGTGACAAGGGTGTTACGCTCAGCAGAACAGAGCTAGTGCCTCCCAAAGTGCTCGGGAAGGGAGCTCTGAACTAGCCTACTGAGCACACAACTGTCCTTTGCTTTGCAAGGACAGGCTGGCGAGGTGTCCAGGGCTGGGGCAGAACCAGAGTCCCTAGCAGGGGAAGGGATATGCAGAGCTGACATACGATTTCCTCATCCCTACGGGGCTGTACTTGCAAGGAGACGGCTGCTCTTGCATTCTGCATCGGCCTTTCTGCATTTGCTTGGCCCCAACTGGAGAGCACATGAACCTTTCCAGGAGCAAGCCACTGACCTGCGACTCCTGCTCCTCAGACAGCAGCTCCCAGGTGTGTGGCTCCAAGTCGATAGCTAGTGTGGCGTGCGCTGCAGGGGAGAGAGAGGAGTCAGGGCTGCTGTCAGCACTGTGTGCAGGGAGGGGCGCGCCCAGGATACCTACAGTTCAGCTGGAGAAGTTTTCCCTCGGTCACAACTGAGTTAATCTCCGAGGTCCCGTAGGAATTCACCAGGCTAAAGGTGAAGAGAGGCTTCTTGCAATGTTGCCCTTCCTTCCCCGGCGAATCTTGCGCACAGCCCTGCGACTGGCAGGAGTCTGTCTCGGGTGCTTTTGTCCTGCATTCCTCATCTCCGTCCTGATGCTCCATCTCTTCAACTGGCAAAAATTCAAAACAAGCACAGTATGACATGCTCTGTAGCCTGCAGAGACACCTGTACCTCGCAGCGTCGCACACGCCACACGCCAGTGGCGACGCGGCAGAACCTGCTTTAGCAAAGCAGCTAAAACAGATTCGTGCTTAAGGAAGAAATTGGCATTTGATAATCAGATGCATGCACCTGAGAGGTGGCTTTCTTCCTGCCAAGGGACCTAGGTAATACAGCCTGCGTTTTACCATCTCGGATCCCTAGACTCTACAGGGGCCGTTGGGAACACGCTTATTTTCTGTATTACACGAGCGCAGGGGCACCTCTGAGTTTCTGCTCTAGTTCCAACAGGAAGTAAGCCATCCCCTCTGGATGTGAAAGTTGCCAGTAATGGAAAATCTCACTAGCAACCTCCCCAGCCCCACCTCCTTTCAAATCCATGCAAAATGCTGGGGCTAAGTCTGCCTGATGCCACTCAGACCCCTTGGCCCCCGGGAGCCCATCTTCAGGAGAAGCGGGGTGGCACAACAAACAGGGGATGTTCGAGAGTGGGATCACTCGTGTCGTGCAGGGGACGGAGGAGCTAACCAGCGAAGGGTCCTGGAAGAACCCCAGGTGGATACTGGGCTCCGAGTCGGGCCCGTCAGCATCGCTGACAATATGTGCCAAGTCCCAGTGATGCGGCGGAGGTGAGGCAGCGGGAAACAGGCAGGTCCAAGGGAGTAGCTCCCTCACGCTGCAGCAAGGCAGCAATGTCTTTGGTTCGAAGCTCTTCTCTACCCTATGGCTGCTCTCAGCAGCACAGCAGGATCCTCTAGCGCCAGGGTCTTCACTGGAGAAGGGGAATGTGCCACAGGCTGCAGGGCTCTGCCCAGGCCTGTGCCCCTCCAGCTTTACACTGGAGGGCACTGGGCACTCTCCTGTGGCCACACCGCCCTTCTTCTCCCCCTGCTCAGCCACCTGCCCCTGGAGCGGCTGAGGGGGTCAGGACAGGAGACTCACGCGCTACGTGCACATATGTGACTGACTGCGCAGGCAGAGGGGCCTGAGGTTTCGTGGCCTCTCGCCAGCACGTATGCCGACGAGCAGCCCTCTCCAACGATGCGAGGTAATCGGCGGGGAACCAGCCCTCCCAGGAATGGAAGAGCACCACAGACGCAGCGCAGCACAAAATGGAAGGCTGAGACAGGGAGGTCTGAGTGACCTTCGGGCAAAGCTTCTCCCATACAAAAGATCTGATTTTACCTTCGCAGCCACCACTGGAACCATTGCAGATCCCAGCATCCTGGCACACACGAGACGATTCCTTGGCCGGAGGGAATTTAAGGTAGCGGCTAAACAAAGGAAAAATAATGGTTAGACCTTCATGCTAGTGCCCAGTGCCAGCACCCCCTACCTCAGGGGCTCTCAACCAGGGCTACACGTACCTGTGGGGTACATCAACTCATCTAGATGTTGCCTAGTTTTACAGCAGACTACATAAAAAGTACCAACCAAGTCAGTACACAATTTCATATGGCTGGTTTGTATACGCTGCACTATACACCAGACACTGAAATGTGAGTGCAATATTGATATTCAATTGGTTATTTTATAATTATATGGTAAAACAAGTCAGTCAGCAATTTCTCACGACTCGTGTGCTGTGATACTTTGGCATATGCATGACTGGCTATACAAGTAAGTCGTTTTTAAGTGAGGTGTAACTTGGGATACACAAGACAAATCAAACTCTTCACAGGGACAGAGTCGTCTGGAAAGGTCAAGAGCCCCGGTTCGACATCAATTCAAGGCAAAGAACAAGCCTCGCTGTTTACAAATCAGAACAAACCACCATGTCCAGCATTAACACGGAGTGTTTGACAATCCCACCCAAAAATCTTTGCAGCTTTCTCTCTGAAACTGGATCACGGCAGAGTGAATATCATGATCCCATGAGCTGATTGCCAGCATATCTGAACATTTTAATGGGGACCA